AAATTCGCCACTTTGGAACAACCCCTCCGTCAGTGACAATGCTGGGGAGGTTCTTCCCATGGCTATTTTTGCTTTGAGGCTTCTGAACTCTAGGTGAAGACAAAAAAAAAAGTGACTATTAAGCTGGTGATTGGGATTGCACAATTATTTCACCAGTGATCAGCGCTGCAGGTTATGACCCAGTGTCTCAGTGACAAGTAAATTAGTCCATGAGGTACAGTCATTAAAAGGAATGTAACAGGTTCAACATGGATGACTGTGCTCCCTTTGAGCCTATGGGACAGTAGGTTCTCCAAAGTGGAGGCTGCTGCTGCTGAAATTGCATTTTTTAGTTCTTCTCAGGAGAGTCCTCAGCCCTCAGAGGAGAGCTGTGATGGACAAGAGCATGGATGGATGAAGGCAGGAAGAGTTTGTCCACACCCATCCCAAAGATTTACAGGCTCCAGGGAAGGCAAGGAGCCAGGAATAAAGTGAAATATCCTCAATGAATAATTCATTTGTTGGAAAGTGGTTTTTCAGGGAAACTGATGCTATACAAAGATTTGGACAAATTCAGCTGAAACACACTCTCAGCCATAAAAAAGATGGATAGGAGGGGAATATACAAAAATCTTGAAATATGTTGTAATATTTTGTTTCAACCATCTGGATAGATTCCTTTAAAAGGCACATTCAAAGCCTTGGGTTTTTGTCTCAAAATAATTCATTTTTCTTTCTTTTTTTTTCTTTTTTTTTTTAAAATATACATAACTTAAAAGAGCAAATGTACTAGAAGGTGGTAAATGATCTGAAAAAGAAATTGATGCTGATTTGTGTCCTCAGGCACTGTTATTTTGTTCCTTTTATGCTTGCATAGGGAGCCCAGGACTAGCTGACACAGCGACCAGCATCGAGATTTGTCTGGTCAGAGCATCTCCTTTTCCTGAGTTCTGGTGTAGTTCAGTGAAGCTGCTAATAGCACAGTTTCTGGGAAAACACAGGAAACATAGCTTGTGTTTGTAAAATCTCTGGTGTATGGATTGGAAGGTTTGCACACCTCGGTGAGAAGATGGAGGAGGCCGGTTTTGGTGAAGTTCACATTCACACTGCTACCTGCGGCCAGGTGGCCTGGCGAGCCTCGGGGCTCCAGGTCATCCATCACTACTACTGACCATCTCCTTGGTCAGCAGTAGTGTGGAGCAGGGCACGTGTTGGTGCTTTAGGGCAGGAAAGGTAGCAGGTAAATAAAGCACTAGGCTAGAATGATCCCTCAAGAACAGAGAAGCTTCAGAAGGTTCAAGGGCTCTGTGGTGGCACTGTGGGATACAGTTTCGCTGTGCACTGTGTAAATCATGAGGAATTGTGACACATTGGCAAGGCAAAGACAGGAAGATCCTGGTAGTCGTTCCTTTTTGATAATACTGGTTTTCTTCATTAGAATTACTGTCTGATGCAACCTAAATGTACCATGGTGCTTAAGTTAAAGCAGTGTGAGTAATTTAGTCAATTAATTAGGTGGGGGTAGCACTTACCTTCCATTGCAAAGGGATCAAAGGAAAACACTTAATAGCATTTATATTCTTGTTGTTCTGCTCCATACCTTAGCATCAATTCATTCAAATAAACCTCTGACCCAAATGTTAATGTAAGTTATTATATTAAATTATTCTGCTTTGGTGAACATTTCTACCCTGTATCAATGTCACGACTGCTGGAACTCAACACATGCTGCTTTGTAGTAACTGGAAGTGGACAGAAAAATGGCCACACGAGTGAGGAACACCCAGATAGCTCTAAACCTCTGGCCTTCCTCTATGAAGTATTTCCTTGTTTCTTCCACCAAAAAAACATGTGCAGAGAAGCTGAGAGGGAGATTCCACAGATAGACCCGGGCCTCCAGCACTTGTGGGTGTCAGTGTCCCCAGATGAAGGAATCTGAATGGAAAATTACTAGAAGGGGAGCATTAATACAGAGAAGAATTTGAATTGGAGTTTGTGGATACTTTTTATTTGTGGTCTTCTGCTATTTAAGTGTTGTGGTTCAGTAGTGGGGCCTCTGCAGAAAGAAGGGGGCATGGAAAATAAAGGATAATTTTTCCTTTGACTTCATTATTGCCAAGGTTTCCCTCCACATCGCTGAGGAATTTATATTAGAGAGGTTTATTCTACTAACAATCTATTAGCAGGATTGGCCCCTTATTGAAAGCATGATGCAGTGCATAAGATTAAATAAGGTAAAATAAGATTAAGTTGTAAGAAGTTACTGTGTGTGGACACTGAATGTTTTTACTTCTGTGCTAGAGGTATTCACTTTGGTCGTTGATTGCATTGTGAACTGAGCCATTAGAAATGGCCCAGACCTTGCTAAGACTGTCAGCTAAGAGTAACACATGTAATACATACATTCCTGGGGAGATTCTTCAAGTTTGAGATACCAAGTTGTTTCAATAGCCTGGACTTCGATTTTATTTGTCTGTGGTCATGCTGTAGAGTAAAGGCAATTAAATTATCTCAATGTCATAAATATATTTATTTTTTTCTTTAGAATGACATATCATCTTCTTCAGCCATTTAATAGAATTTAATACTGTTTAGGATTTTAAAAGACAAGGAGAAATGAGGCTTTATTAAATTCAGTAAGTCCTTTGCCTAGGATATTTTTCTACTTTAAAGATTTTTCTACTTGAAATAAGTGAGACTCATTTCATGTTTCCATTCAAGAGTTTGACAAATGGTAGTGTTGTACACAATCACAAGAAATAAAATCTTTTAGGACACGAGCAGCAGTAAAAAGGAGATGGCTATACAGCTGGTTTTGGTTGTATCTCTGATAGAAGGATCTTTGCACTGTCCCTTAATACTATACAGAAGGTGGTATAGGTCTGTGGCTGTGACTAAATGTGTGCTATGGGTACTTGTGTGCTGGTTCACTGACCTCCACTCAAGTGTTACATTTTCCTCTGCTGAAGGTTTTTGAAAGAACAGAGCAGTCTTTCAGGTGTAGGCCATACCAGATCCACATCTCTGTGTGTGAGCATGAGAGACAGCTGTCTCGAATGATTTACTCCTGCAACTCTGGTCTCTGTCATCCACTTTTGGCATTTTTCTCCTTTACTTCTCTCAGGAACAAAGAAGGGAAAACCCAGAGACTGCAGTGACACCTATTAAGGCTTTCTCACGGATTGTATTTCTCAATCCATAGCCTCGACAAATGCTGAACTGTACTATATTCGGTGTTTCAACAGGCAAAAAACCAAACTCTTGCACACCAGCCCTTCATAATGTCGCTGATCACTGTCACTCAGTCACTCAAATATACCCAATACATGGGAAGCTTTAATACACATGCTGTGTTTTCTCCCAAAATACTGCATGTAGAGCCAAAGCTAGATACAAAATAGTTGAAAAACTGATAATCACCCATGAGATCTGTTTGGATCCAATATTGCATTCCTGTCCATCAGATTAACACTGCACTGCAGCAGTGTATGTGGAGTTTTCACATGCATAATCTTGGGAAAATATACAAGCTTTTTCCCCAGCTGGTCATGTAACAGATCCTTTTCTTAGTCTCCAGTTCTGTGCATCCAGTTGAGATGTAAGGAGAGGAAAATAATTTGACTGTATTCCAGTACCATGTACCCTAAAGCCTCGTGTGCACCTATGATCTACTAGTGCCAATTAGATGTAGTTAGCATGGTACTTTTGGTAGTGTTTGGTCTTTGTAAAGATTTAAGTCAGTTCAGATAGAATATTGGGTAGTACAAACTGGATTAGCTACAGTCATACTCATTCTTCAGTCTAAAGGTATCCATTTGCTAAGGTGGACAGCAGTTTATGTAAACCCTGTTGTTTCCAACCAGTTACGTTCTTCAGTACCAAGCACTGCGTAATGTCTTGAAACAGTTATTCTTTCATATTACATTCGGGACATGACTGAAGGGCTTCAAGAGGGCAGTAAAAATGTGTATGGTTCATCTGGATGTTTGTTGCTGTTTTCTGGAATTTGAGTTAATGAAAACAAAGTTTGAGAAAACTGCTTGTTTTGTTTTGGTATTTTGTTTTGGTTTTTTGTTTTGTTTTGGTTTTGGTTTTTTTGTTGTTGTTGTTGGTTTTTGTTGTTGTTTTTCCTTTTTAATTATCTCAATCCCAGCTTGCATTATCTTCCAGAAATTCAGTATTGAATCCAGCTGGAAGTGACTGCAGTATTATTTTGCCATAGCACTAAAGCGTTTTGTCTGGAAGCTCAGCTATTTAGATTACACGTCCCTCTTGAAGCTTAATGTTCAAGAGCTCTTCATTAGAAACATCAATGGTATTAAATAGAAATGGATCTAGCATGATGTTATAAAAAAATCAGACAGTAATGCAGTATCCACTTGGTATAACATTTCCATTATAATAAACTTAATGTAACTCTGAATTCTTTAACATAGAGGAGGGTAACTAAAATAACACAATATATTTATTTTACTACTATAAAAGCTTTAATGAACTTCAGGAAAATAGTTTCAGTACAGTGTTGTAAAAGCTCTGTTACCTTGTGCACACTGACCTCAGTCCTGCAAACAATTACACTTGGGCACAACCCCGCTGAATGCCAATGGCCAGCTCATCTGTAAAGTGAAACATGCATGTGTATACTTGTAGAGATCAAGGCCTTGCTCTAGTTTGGAAAATTTGAAATATTTTAACCAAGGGGTAGGTTTTGCAGCAACACTCCAGCAAGAAAGTTTTCCTTAAAATCAGGCAGATAAAGCTTTTTTTCTCTGCCACTGACTAAAAGCTCCTTCTAGCTGGTACTGAATAGGAAACTGCCAGGTGTGCCCTGTGAACTTGGCCATGCTTCATGGATAATCAGCCCACGGCAGGTTGGTGAGGCCTATGCCTTGGTCCTTCACCATGCACAGCCACCCTCATTGCGGTAGGAGCTCTCCTCAAAGGAGGTGTCTCAATTTTGGGCCAGAGAGAGAACCAGTTCCCTCTCCAGTCTCTTAATTCCCTGTTGGTTTCTCCCACAGCTGGCTGTTCCACACAACGACGAGTGGACCCGCTTTGCTCGGACCTTGGTGGAAATCCGTGCCAACCGAGCAGACAGTGAAGAGGAAGGGGCAGTGGAGCTGTCGGCCTAGAGGAAGAGGAGCTGCAGCGCCTGCCACCGCCAGAACAGCAGCTTTCACCCGCTGAGTACGCCGGTGTTCAGTGTCAGAGTCTGTCTTGCTGTGGCTTTTGATGCCAGTGTACATGCCAGTATTGCTCAAAGCATTCTATATTAATCACACTGCTTTACACAAGGCTGAAAATATCCAGAGCATTTTCATACTTTATATTTCTGTCTGAAAAGTAAGAAAGAAAAGACAAATCAACCCTTTATGGGTTTAGTTGTTGCCTTTTAACTACTTAGTAGCTGTATTTAATAGCTAGGAACCCCTGGTTAAACTTGTGCTCACATTGCCCTTCTGGCATAGTCCTATTAAATCCATATGAAGCCAGATATGATTATGTGCAGATGTGGTGTGCTTCACTGTATGGGACTGGGCCAAAGACTTTAGATGTGGTGTTTCACATGGTGACTTACATTATGAATGGATGTACTATACGAAAGTTGCTGCTCCTTATTTATTGCGGTGTGCTGCATGGAACATATTTATTTGAAAGCATTAAAATAAACGATCCTAAAGCATGTGCATAATGAGAGAACTGCATTGTCTGTGTGCTGCTGTAGAGGTTACATTAAAGTCCACGTAACAATTACAGTACATCAGTTGTGCTTAAGATATAAGATCTATAAAGGTTGGCTTGAGTGGATGGAATGAGTTTCCTTTCCTTTTTTTTTTAAGATGCCTATTATTTCTAGGCACTTTAACTATATTTCAAATACAGTTGGTCACTGATACTTGTCATGCAAGTTAACACTAACAGTCTGACTAAGGGTTGTGGTTCCTGAGTATGACACTAGTATTTGCCAATAAAATGTATCAGGCCTGTTCTGTTGCAGTGTGGTTAATCTTTCCTTGCCAGCAGTGCTCAGCGTGTTCATTACCAGTCACTGGTGAAGCACTGGGAAAATATGACTGCCCTGACTCACAGAATGCTCCTGCAGCTGCCACGTAAATAGATACCTTTGGTATGGGACTGGCCAGTAATGGACTTGAGCACATCAGATCCTGTTACAGATTTTACATGAGCAGGCACTAAGGAGTGTCAGCTTCTAGGCTAATTTTTATTTTTCCTCCGTCTTTAGCATGCTCACTTGCACACATGTGCACACACAGAGAAGCACTGTGCTGCCATATGGGCTAAGAGAAAAGGAATAGGAAAGACAAGGCCTCCTCAGACTGTCTTGAGAGACAGGTTGGAACAGGGGACAAGGGAATAGGCTCCTTTATGATAATCTCTTGTGGCCTGAGAAAAGAAACAGAGTGCAGACTGATTTCATTGAGTGCTGTGGTCCAGAGGGACGAGACTTGGTGCTGAGGCTGCTCGATACATTCATGTCACAAAACTGCTGGGCCAGAGCACAGCTCTGATGCCTGCATTTAGCAGTGGTTCACACTCAGAGCCATGGGGTGAGCCATTACAGCAAGAAATGCTGCGAGTCAGACAAGAAAGATCTTGTATGTTGCTTGTAGGGAGCCATGTCTTGTCTTTGCATAATCATGTTGAGGAATATATCATCTAATCATCTTTGAGGCTATAGTCTAAGACTAGGTTAAGAAAATGAATCCTTTGGAAAAGCTACATTTCCCTTATCCTCTTGGTGGTTAGAAATAACTCCCAGTGAGAGTGCATGAAGAAAGTGCTACTTTCTTCTTCACGGTGCAAAGTGCAACTATCTGCCAGTGCCCATGGAAGTGTTCTGCCATTGGGCTGAGAGGAGTGTGATGACCGACTACACACAGCAGAGATACATCAGCCACTGGTTCTGTAGCTCCCTGAGGTTGTAGCCATGTATTAAAAAGCTCTGTGTTCCTGCTGCTCCCCTGGGTGCTTTGGGAGCTGTCCTGAAGGACCAATGTAGCACTTGCAGCACTTCTGTAGCTTAAAGGTGAGTGCTAACAGCCAGGTGGGAAGCAGAGGTGGGTGCTTGCTACCCTTCCACCTGCTAAGTAAATCCACACCTCAAAGTGTGGGACACCCTCCTGTTACACTGTGGTGTAACAGGAAGGGTGTTTAACCAATGTCATCTCCTGTTCATCGTAACCAGTGCAGTGGGAATGGCTGGCAGATATGCTGCTTCTTTTTCCATATTACTGTTTGGGGGGCTGCATGTTCATGTCCAAGCTTCCTTACTTTATGGCATTAACAGCTTTTAAAATGGTTTTAAGGGCAGCCTCAGAAGACCTTCAGCATTTGCTGCTGCGTGCGAATCAATATAACCAACTCCTTTTTTAAAATTTTTCCTTTTTTTTTTGTTATGAGGTTTAGCAGCACACAGAGGGAACAAGGAAAAGATGCAGATTTCTACAGAAATGACCAGGTTTGTAAATACAGAGCAACAACATGAAAGGGCCATTTCACACAGCTAAAAGTAGATGGAAGAGCACCCAAGAAGAAGAGGCATTTACTCCCCTTCTGTTGCTCATGATGTTGTGTGGTGGAGTTTCTGACCTGCCCTTGTTGCTGCCCTTCCAGGAATCTCCCACAGTTCTTGTTTGTTTGATTTTCCTGCTGCTAAACAAATAGTTCCACTTTACTGGCTTTCCAAAAAGAGCCTGTATGACAAAATGTTCCTCAGAATCTGCCCAGTAGGGAAATAAATACAAAATTATCATTTATTTTGAGCAAAGAGATATCATCTTCTCCAGGCTCTTTAGCCTACAAACATACAGAGAACAGAAGGAAGAACATGAAGAGTATGTCCCATGCTCTAGCACTGCTGGGATGCTGCCATGACTGCTCCGGGTGTGGAATGAGTCAAAAACAGCCTGGCTCTGTTTTAGGACCATTGCAAGTAAGCTTTGGTAAGACATAAACTGTGTGCTCAGACTGATCTGGAGAGCACATCTGAACCACAGAGGTCAGAAAAAGCAAACCCAACTAGGACAGAAGCAGGCAAGTGGCAGGAAAAGGCTGAATTGAGGTTTAGGATGGAGGAGAGGACTGCGAGGTGGATGTGGAAGGGACACGTCTTGAACTTGATGAAGGGAAGACCTTGATTTTGGTGCCAAGGACTTGGGATTTGTTCTGAAAGAAGGTGCGAAAGGACATAGCGAAACATGACAGGTGGTCCTGGGGGTGGGAGCTGAAGGCATTTGCTAAAAGGGGAAGCAGGGTACTTCACCTTTATGACATGTACTCTGTTCAAGAGCCCCCATGGTAACATAGAAAGAAGATGAGCTCACAGAGCAAAACGGCATCCCATGTAGAGTGGGATGGTCTCCACTGACCAGTGACAAAGGAGACTCTGCTATCATCAGGGCAGCATCAGTCCTAAGGAAGGACTCAGCACCTAATGGTGCTGAAGAGTAGCCACCTGTCCTTGAGAAGCTCACAGAACTGGTTCTCCTTCAAAGTCACGAGCAAAGCTACTTCTGTAGTAGCACCACCATGCCTGGTACACAGTGTCTGCACAGCCTGGGGTGTGAGTAAGCACAGAGAGAGGCCAGGCAACCCTTTGCATTGTAACTACAGCAGCTGGAATGAATCTTGCAAGCAATGGTACTGCTTCCTGCTGCAATGAGGAACAGTGCAAGTAGCAGTTAAAATGATAAATATGCTTCTTAAAATGTCATGTCTCTGAGGGGCAACAGACACCTCAATGACGTTCAGCACTGGGAGAGGCTGCCCGAGCTCACAGCCTGAATTATCCAGTGGCAGGTGGCATTAAAGAAGCTGCTTCATGCCAGGCTGCTTCTGTGTTATTTGCTGTGTTTGAAGCTCTCTGGAGACACTTAAAATACAAATGTCTTGAGACTTCTATATTCCCAACCATTAAATAACTTACAAATGATCACCATCTCTAGAAATCGCCTTCTAGCTTATGCAAAAATGGCAAATATTTAAACTGAAAACAAAGTCTGAATTTCACAGCAGTGTTTAAAAAGCTGTAGGATTCCCAATAGTCCCTCTGCCACGTGTGCATTGGAGAGCTGAGGAGCTCAGCAGTAGGCAGCATGACATGTATGCACATCACGCAGACTGTCCCCTCCTAAGAAGATGCAGAGCAGTTTGTCAGGTTTTATATTTTTAGGAGGTTTAGAAAAACCTGCTCAAGTTATTTTTGAAGCCTGTGGTATGTTTGCTCACACAAGTGTCCCTGCAAACTGTCATTATTAAGTCACCTTAAACCCAACCAGTTCCCTGGTGACTAGGCAGAAAAGCATCTCTCGGCTTCTACTGGACTGAGAAACACAAATATGAGGTAACTGCTCCAGAGACACCCCTGATGGGTAACATCACCAGTATTTGGCCATTTCTTTTTTTCTAGAAGTGCTGTCACAGGGAGTTAGCTGGGCTGCAGGAAGCAAGTGAGGTTACATTTTATCCATTTGCATAATTCACTCAGAAACCCAGAGAGGACAAACATTGTCCTCAGGGCCTTTTGTTTGTTTGCAAGGCAATCTGACAATTTCTTGGCCTGTAAACTTTTCAGAGCAGGAATGCATCCTTTTGTGTCTAGAGGAAACCAACTGCGGGCACAGATCTTCCCCAAGATCTTTGAAATGTTTTGAACTGGGTTGCCTGTTAACCAAGCAGCCACTGGCTCTTCAACCCTTCTGCCCCTGCCTCCACTGTCTACTGGCTCTGAAAAGATGGGCGGAAGGAGAGAACAATCCTCCAGAAAAGTTAATGGGAAAGGGAAGGGCCACCATGGGTGGGAGAGTCAGTCAGCCCTGCTGATGTGCCTGCCAGGGAGAAGATGAAGGTTGTGGCCTTCTGAGATGGATCTGCCATAGGAGAGCTGTGCCTGACCTTTGTCCCTGGGATGAGAGCTTTCTCCTTCATCCCTGGAATAAAGAACAAGTCATAAATATACTGCCAGGCCCGGGAACGAGAGGGCACCAGGAAGCAGGGAAATCGGTCTGAGTTATGCTTTGTTTTGTGGAACACAAGCAATAGTCTTTACCACACAAGCCAAGAAGTTGTGCAAGCCCGACAATAACCCAGCTCTAATTCCTCTTCTGTTCCTGGCTGCAAAGCCCCAGCAGCACTGGGGTTTGGTGTCAGGCAGCAGAGGGACATGCTCTGGAGTGTACAGCCTGGGTGTCCCTCTCCAGGCTGAGCCAGGAGGGAGCAGCTGCCGGCCAAGCCCATGCACATGGTCAGGCACTTCCTCTCCTGGACCGGGAAGAAGGTGCAGTTCAGTGCTCAGACATCGCCCCTGAGCTCCTGACTTTCCACAGAAACCCTTGACAAAGTATGTCAGCAAATGCGAGGGATGAAGTGTAAAACCAGCTCTTATGCAGCCTGAAATCTCAGGTGTCAAGCACAGGCAGCTCCCAGAGAGAATGTTTAATTCTTATGACAAGCCTTAACCAAAAATCCTGACAGTTAATTTTGAAGTAATAAAAGGGGACAGCTTTTTTTCCTTCCATTTCTGAAATGAAGGAGCTGTCATTTGGGGAGACTCGGATACACAGGGCTGGGAGGAAGCAGCTGGTGGCTGTCAGAGCCCAGTGCAGTCTCTGCACACTGGTTTAGCCAGACTCCAAGATGCAGCTTCAGATGAATGTCATCTGCTCCCCACGTCTTAACATGCCTGAGTACTGCAGACCTCAATTTCACTGGTAACTTCAAAATACAAGTTAATCCAAGAGAATAATTTTTATGATGACCCAAATACAAATGAAAAACCAGAGGGATTTCCATTTCAGGATTTCCACAAGTTACAGCACAACAATATGATATTGCACACCAAACTCATTCTTCTCCAAAGATGCTGCATCTGTGCCTTCCCTCAGTTTACAGCCAAGGTTGAAGGCAACCACCCAAAGGAGACAAGCAAGACCAAATTCCTCCTGATCTTAGGAGATATTATAGAAGATAT